CTCATCCACATAAGCAGTAACCTTTGCAAAGAATGTAAAAATATTTGTAAGGCAAGATTTTTCCCTTAGTGAAGCCATGCATGTTGTCTATAGAATAAAATTCTACAAATTGTTAAATGACTTTGCAAAGCATCTTTTATCAGACATTCCAAATCTTTTCCCACAACTGATGTAAGACTAATGGGTCTATAAAGCATAATTAATGGGACAATTTTTATAACCTGTCTTGAAAAGAGAAGTGACATTAGCTAACTTCCAACAAATATCCAATCCTTAATTTCCTTTGAAACCCTTGGGGGTGGGGGCGAATATTATCTGGCCCAGGAGCCTTATTGTTCTTTAAACTTTCCAGTTATTTCTTAACAGCTTGAATTAACGCAATCATCTTGTCTGACCTTGTTTCCATCTATCAACTATTCAAGATGAGGAATACTGCTGAAATCTTCTTTTATATAAAGAGAATATAGGAATAACAATTTTTATAAATATACTACTAGAAACATTGCTCATTTCTACATTAATCAGAGCATTCATTGATTTAAATAAGTTTCAGCTATTTTAAAACAAACATTTTCTACAAAGCATGAGTATGTTTGCCATTAACTGTTCTCTAAAATGATAAAATATTGTTAGTTATTTTAGGTTCTATTGTATTTAAATTCTTGAGCATGTTTTGTATATGTAACTAAAAAATTCTAAACAAACAAACTACTAAGTTATATATGTCTCATTTGAACTTATGCAAGCTTTAAAAAGTAGATTGTTGACAACAGAATTAAATTAAAGAATGCATTTTTCATCAAGAACAAGCTGACAAACTTATATCATAAGTTAGGTGTTATAATGAAATTTTGTAAACAAATTGTATTTTCTAGTATCGTGAGATTCGGCTGGCATCATTGTTGTTGGTTGTTGTATGACTTTGTAATTATTATTTAGCTGAACTTTAACCACTCATAATTATGAGTAATTTGTCATTCCATTTTATACACATTCATTAACTTTGTTTGAGTTCATAGATAAAGGTGACAGTAAAAAAGTTTTATAAAAAAAAAATAGTAACAGAGAACAAATATCATATTTTATTAAAGATGTTAAGAAGTGTTTAAAATCCATAATTAAATTAAAATCAAATCTACAATAAGTGTTAAATATATATGTGTGAAAAATCATATTGGTAGATATGTTTATTTGTTGCACTTTTCACTATTTATGTTATTTCAGTATTGAATACAAGTATTAAGTATTTAAACTATTACTACTGAATCTTATTAAGTTTCATTTTTTAACATAATAATTTTCATATTTTTAGCCTGGAGATACCTGGACAGAAGGGGCATGTCAGCGGTGCCATTGTACTTCTACTTATAGAGTGGAATGTTTGCAAGAACTGTGTGCTTCACCTCCAGTTTGCTATAAAGATGAAACATTAATCACTATCCCTCCAGAAAATGGAACCTGTTGTCCCAAATTTATTTGTGGTATGTTTCTACAGCTTAATAGTGCACCAGGACTGGAAGTTTAATTTATCTTATGTAAAGAATTACCAAGCTAAAATAATAACTTTTGGTTACTTAGTTCATCACGTTTCTGTGCCAAAAAAAAGTGTTCCTTTATGTTAAAAGTATGTAGAAGTTATCTTTTGTTCTGCTTGTTGAACACTAATCATAAGTAGTTTGGTTTGTTTTATTTCTCTTTGTTTCATGATTGGTCATTTAAATATTTTATGATCAATACTTTTATATTTTGGGGATCAGATTAATTTTTTCAACCTTTTCTGTCAACTTCCTTCTGGTTTAAAATGTGATTCTAATAAAGAAACAGTTTTTCAGAAAATTACAAACTACATCCAGCATAAAGTTTATGTTTTTACAGATTTCACATAAGGAGAATCGTAAATAAGAATATGTACAGTTTTTCAAAACACATGAGGTGATTTAGGTTGATGATTAAATTATTGTTCTTTTATCACATATTTATGGGCATGTGGTCTGTTAGTGTAGGATCATTTTTGAGGATTAACAATGTAGGTTATTTCAAGTCATCTTGTTTTACTCGTAGGTTGATAGAAAAATTTAACATTTTTATGAGAATGTGAACAGTTATAGTGTTTTATTCTAGCCACAACTAGTTCTTTCTCACAAAGTATGTAGAGATAAAGTATTACTTTTAGAAAAATGTATAAATTTCAATGATTTTTATGAAGAGTTTCACCAGCATTTTTTTATTTTAAACAAATTTTAGGAATAGAGTCAATGCAGTGTTCTTATGAACATCCTTTTATAATAATTTTATAGAGTTTTAATGTCAGTGTTATATAATCAGCAAATGAATCTGTTGGGATGTACAGTTTTTCATATCTAAAATAAAAATTTAATTATAATGTTTTTCTTGAGTATAATTGCTGTTGCAATTATTAACTATTAAAACATGAAACATTGTTTTGAAAACTGAACTATCTTTAGTATAAGAACAGTAAAACCACCCAATAGTCATGGAAATTTATCTGTTGTCGAATGTTTTACCTTCACACTTTTTTTTATGGATCAGTACTCCAGAGAAAAACTTAGTAATAACTATTCTGTATCTGTTCATTGCACATGTTTATTGTGTCTCAAGATCGTATTTCTAAACATTCTCTTTATATAAATATTCTATAGAAATATTGTTGTTTTTTCATTTTTTTAAGCTGAACTTATGAAATTTAATATCATGGGGTTAACTTTATAGAACCTATTCAACCAACTGCATGTCCTGCTCCTGTGGTGCCAGAGTGTTCACCTGGGCAGGTAGCCAAACTTTCTCGAACCAAAGAAGCATCTGGTGTCTGTAACTCGTATGAATGTGGTATGAATTATTTTATGTTTCATCACTTAAATATTACATAGTTCTAGTACAGAATCTGTAATTTAAGTGAAAGTACTAAAACACAAGATAATGTATCTTGTTTTACTCCTACAGTCAGTAGAGTTAATGTGGATTTCAATTGTTTAACGTTATCATAAATTGTGATAACAGGATAGCAGAGATACAAGATACTGTAATTAGTTATTGATGTAAAATATTCAATGTATAAAGTCAAGCTAATAAAATTGATAAGACACTCTTAAAAGACAATGCTATAACAACTCGGTAAAGCTGAAAAACTTACTTGATAGTCTAAAAAGACCATACATACTATAACAACACAATAAAGTCAATGAGGTTTATTAAAAGTGGGTAACCTCAACTGATTAGATATATTTTACAGCTTGATGAAATAATGTACTGTAACAAATGAATAACTTGTAAAGGTATTACAGGAATTCAATAGCACATTCAGTCAGAAAATGAATAATTTAACATTTAAAACAAATTTTTATTTGCAGTCATTTTGTATCTTTTGTTGAAAACTTTTTATGATAGTTTGGAGCTTTGAAATGGCAGACTCTAACTTTTCATTATTTCTGTGAGTATAGAATGTGACTCAGCATTGTGTCCACCCGTTCGATGGCCTGATAGTCTAGAAGTTGGACAACACTCAGAACTGGTGCGATCAGACTGTTGTAGTAAAGTTGTTGTCATCTGTCGACCAGAAATTTGTCCTGTAGCCCCAACCTGTGCTCCTGGGTTAGATCTAAAGGAAGTAGAAGGCGAATGTTGCCCTATTTATAGATGCAGTAAGATTGGTTTTGTTTATTTTTTATTATCATGTCTATATAAATTATTATTTACCCTTATGAACTTATGATTTTCGTCTAACTTATGGAATTAGTTTCTACAACAAAACTCAATTTTCTTATTTCTGATTGAAAGTTCTGAACTTAAGTTATGATCCTCTGTTGTTTCTACTGCATAATGCAATAAATAATAAAGTGGCAGGATTATACTGATGTATCATAGCTAGCTATGATGAAAGATATGTGATGTTACTCCTGTCACGAGTTGAGTGTATTTTTTGATACAGGTTGACTGTACTATTAAAGCCTATTCCATGTAATCACAAACACAGATAAGACAAGAGCATTAACATTTAACAACTCGCTAGTGGCTCAGTCATAAGTCTGAAGTCTTATAACACTAAAAATTGGGTTTCAAAATCTGTGGTGGGCATAGCACAGATAGCCAATTGTGTAGTTCTGTGCTTAACAACAACCAAACCAAACTGAAAACATTTAACGATCGGATAATTTCATCCTTCATGTAAAGATTTGTTTTAGTCTTATAACTGTGGATTGAAGACAAGTGTTAGTTGAACATAGGGAGGTATTTAGAAGAGTGTTGTATGCTAGACTAATCATGTGGAGGGGTATCAGTCGTTTAAGGTTCTGGAAAAATCACACTTCGTTAAACTAATTATAGAAAAACGTGTTTTTGGAAGACTGTTTCATTAGATAAAATAGCTGAAAGAATTGGATATTTCATTTACTTATCATCTGAACTTTAAAAGATTGTTGTTGTTTTTTTAGACGAACAGAACTAAACTATCACAGTGAATTTTAAAGTTTACAATAGTGCTTTCACCATGAAAATTAGATATAAAACTTCCATCATGGGTGTTATTAGTGTCCAGAAGAGGAATCTTTAAATTGAAATGTTACCTTAATTATTAAACATTATAAACTTGAATGATTTTCTTTAAAGACTAAGAAAGAATCATCAGTATACAATTTGTTTACCAGAAGCTTAACTACAATTGGATATTGTAACCAGTTTTTCTTCATAATCACTAAATTACACTCTAGGAGTTAATCTGTAGCTAGTTTATCTGCTTAGTCATCATATCATCAAAAATAAAATAATGCTGCCTTTTAACACTGTAGTTAGTGATATATTTTACTAATTTGGAAACTTAAAATGATAAACAAACAGACACAATTTGTTCAGAGAAACGTTTTTATATAACAATGTAATAAAAAACTTGCACAGGAAATCAAAGCTGTTAATGAAAAAAATACTAATTCAATGCATTCACATATACCAATTTTAAATTAATTTTTCAAGTAACAAATGAAAAACCAGCTAATTTATATTAGAAACAACTAGTTCAACAGGAAAATCTTTCTCCCTCTTTTTTTTTCTTTTGCCTAGCAGTAGAAAAATATATTTCGATAAGTGTTTTATTATTTAGAATATTTAATTAGCATAAAGAGAAATAAATAACTTCAAACTACTAGTGTTATTAGACTAATAGGAGGAAGACCATTAGTTCCTCAAGTTTAATAATAGTTGACAAAAACTGTAAAAATTATTTTAGTTGATCATAATTAAGCATTTTTAGTGTTGCTAGTTGCGTGTTTTTTTTTTCTAATAATGAGAGATTTGATCTTTAACCCTATTTTCTTGTAAATCTGAAATGTGGTACCTACAATTTAATAAAAACAGGTTTTATGTAAACTTTTGAAATGAATACAAAAGTAGTAGTAGTAGTAGTTGCTCCCTAGTGGCACAGTGAGATGTCTGCGGACTTAAATGTTAGAAACCAGGTTTCAATACCCATGGTGGGCAATGCACAGATAGCCCATTGTGTAGCTTTGTGCTTAACTTCAAACAAACAGAAGTAGTCATCTAATTTTTACCTTTTTAAGATATCAAATGTTTTCTAAGAGGATTCATAGTACTCAACAGTATGTTAATACTTGGAGAAAAAATCCCTGATGACGAAATAGAATTCAAGCAATTTTATACTGAATATTTTGTGAACAACTAAATTATATCGAACATGTAATACAAATATTATAATACATCATTCATTTAGCCCAGAATGTGCTCATGTAAATGTATGAATTTTACTTCAATGTTAATGACAATGATTCAGATTGTAAGTAATCTATTCCAAACAAAATAGGAATTTAGAGCTACTCCGGCTTGTACTGTTCCAGATGAAATTACATTATGACATACAATCCATAATTGTGTAGTGTTGAAATATTCATAGCACAATAAAACCTATTTTTTCTTCCCCTGAATATGAAAACATTTGTCAGATATTAAAATACATTTTTCTTTCATCTCATAATGTTTGCACTGTTACAGTTTTTATAATGATATACAGCAGATTATGGACTGTAAGATGCCTAATTTTCACTTCTGCTGAATAGTGTTTCTTAAATGATGATATGATTCTTAGGATGTAGTAACAAATAAGTGACTTATAAAACACATATTTCTATTTCTTGAAATCTAGGTAAGGAGTTTTTAAAATATGAACTTAGGTTTTAAATTTTTGTCATTTTCAGAGCCACCTGAAGATATGTGTGTTTACAGCAAAAAGTATGAAGTGATTGGTGGAGAGGAGATTTCTATAGCTCCTGAGGATCAGACATTTTCGAAGTACAAGGTTAGTTTAAATGTCTATTTTTTTTCTTGACATTTTAGCTATTCATTATGTCTTTCTTATCTACACAACATAAAGTTAATGTTCATGTGAAAACCTATTGATTATTTTAAAGTATGCTGTTTTGTTTTAGAAGGAGCTGAAATTCTGTTAGCAAAAATAATAATAAATCATTCATAAATTTGACATTCTATCATAATCATACAGATGTATTAAAGAAATAAAGCCAACGTTCAATAGTACACAATAGTAATAGCACAATAGTACTGTCTGTAGTCTCAAAATACAATAAAAATTATTTTACTTAATAATTTTACTGTATAAAGATAAAATACATACTGTGAGACTGGGAACAATCCCATACACTCGACATGTTTTGACATATTCGTATATCATCATCAGGAATCACTATTCTCAGTCTAACAGTATTTATTTTATTTTATCTTTATATAGCAAAATTATTAAATAAAACCATTTGTATTGTATTCTGAGACTAGGGACAGTCTCATTTTAAATATTTATTGTGTATTATTAAACACTGGCTTTATTTCTTTAATACATCTGTGTGAAAACTTACCCAAGTGTTGTCCTGATATTAATATTGTATCATAATATTAGCTCAGGTATTATAGTCTAACTTCCAGAACAGCTATGTGGACTACGTCAACCTTTTAAACTCCATATGCACCAAACTCCTTGTTGGTTACAAGGTCCCTAATACCCTGAAACAAGTTAACAGAAATACCATTAATACTGCAATTTAGTCCCACTTATTACTTCTAGGGTCTGCTTTGCATTTTATATAGAAAATGAGTGATTTTGCCCAGTGGTTTTAGTCAGGTCTTTACACTGAGTTTTGAAAAAGGCAGAAACATAAAACTACCCAATATGATTCAATACATAATATATAAAAAAAAAGTTGTCAACTTGAGGGTTAATATGTTTAGTTGACTGACACTCAACTGTTATGATTTAGTTTTCAAGACTAATTTTCAAACACAGTTAATAACAAAAAAAGTATATGACTTTCGTTTTCCTATTTTTACATGTAGCCTGGAGAGGTGTGGAAAGATGGACATTGTCGTAACTGCACCTGTGAAGGAACTCCTGGTCAGTATACTCCTCAGTGTGTGTTTGAACAGTGCCCCTCTGTGGAGAGCTTGCCAGATGATAAGGTAAATCAATGCATGGAAGTTAATACATAAATATATCTCATGTCATTCACAGGGCTGGTGATCTTATCTCAGCTACTTGCTTAAGTTCAAGTGAAGTATTCATTCCATGAATTATACAAACAACAAGCACTTTGTGAAGTATTCATTCCATAAATTAGAGAGACAACAAGCACTCTGTGAAGTATTCATTCCATGAATTAGACAGACAACAAGCACTCTGTGAAGTATTCATTCCATGAATTAGACAGACAACAAGCACTCTGTGAAGTAGTCATTCCATGAGTTAGCAAACAGTAAGCACTCTGTGAAATATTCATTCCATGAATTGGACAAACAACAAGCAAGACAGAGTTCAAAAATCAAAATATATTATCAAAAATCACAAACTTACTTGTTGCAGAGATGTAAATAATGAGTATTACACATTGAATCATAAACATGCAACCCAAACACTGATTAATGAAACTTTTAAGGATATCCATTAGGTTATTTCTGTATTTGTAGGTAGATAAATGCTTAAATATTTTATTCTTTCTTTCATAGGACTATGTTCTGACCACTGTAAATGTTCCCGGGCAGTGCTGTCCAACTGTAGTACGGCTGTTCTGTAAAGATGCAGATGGCAACGTCCATGGAGTAAGTTATGTTATTACATTTAATCACAATCAATCATAATTTCTTCTTCTTTCTTTTTAGCATAAAGAATACCCCTCCTTCCCCATTAAAATATGAATAAATTACAAATCTATAATGTGTTTTGAAATTGTGCTTAACTAATACAAGTGACACTTGGAAAAAATAATATTAACAGTAAAACTAACATTTATTCCTTTACATTTAGCTTAAAGTTTAGAAATCACATTAATAAGACTCACTTCTCCAGAGCCTGTCATAAATAAGTATTACCTTCATCTTTACAGAAATAAGTTATGTGTGATAACTTGTTTATTTCATTAGGTGGATAGTGAATGGCAAGACAAGAATGACCCTTGCAAATCATACAGTTGTGAATTGACTTCAACTGGTGAGATGACAAAAGTGTCAAAGTCAAAAACTTGTCAGGAATGCCCCAAGGTATTGGTTTTTCTGTAAAAAAGAACTTGATAATACTCTATATGCATATTTTAATTTAATGGTGATGACAGGGTATAAAAGAAAACAAATAGTTTGTTTTCTCAGGTTCTGAAATATGTTTTTTTTTCTTATATTTTGGAAAATGTCAAGTACTATGAAGTCGTTATGTGATGTTCATGTTGGTGTAATATATTTATCAGCTTGGTCCATATCATGAATCTTTAAATATGAATAGGTGATTTATGGTGTGAGGTTTTATTGTTATTAGTTGTCCATATTACTACTTGTGTGATTTCATTTTAAAAATAGAATTTGGCATTTGCAGAAAAAATAACTTCTTTGATATTTTACTCACGAATGGCCTCTATGACATTTTTTTATGCTGCATCTAAGCATCAATAAAACCTTAGGAGCTGTTAATTTAGTAAAACTTCACATATCAGGCTTGTTGCATAAATCCAGAGCTTTAAGAGGACTGTTTATCTTTTCCTCTTGAAATTCCTTTTTTGATTTTAATGATAAGTTTGAAAAGAGAACAACTACAAAGCCAATTTGAAAGTAAGTATATAATAACTAAAAGTGTAGTTGTAAAGATTCTTTGCAATATACTTAAACTGTTGGAAAAAAAAGAATTGTGTTTTATAACTCAATTTATAATGTTTTCACAGACCTCAGAATACATCCCTCCAAAAGCTAGTCTGCAACAGTGTTGTGGTATTTGTCGACCAGTGGCTTGTGAAGAGGGAGATAACTTACACAAAGTTGGAGAAAAATGGAATTCTACTGTGTTCCAGTGTTATACTGCTGAGTGTGTGAGAGAAGGGGAAGGTGTGCGAACTCTTTATCGAAGTCCCCGTTGTTCAGCTGTTCCTGAAAACTGTCCACAGGTTTGTAAATCATTTAAACGACTATTTTTAATGATATGCAGTGCCGTCTTAGAACCTTTAAATAATGCATATGTAATTTGATATAAAAAATTTAATGAGGTCTTGTGTTTATGATAACAGTGTTTTTTAACCTAGAACTGTGTGATTCAACACACAACTTGAATTGTTGAGTAAGTTTTCGTATTCAAAAATAAGAAGACAGGAAATCAAATATTGAGAAACTTTTTTCGTGTGAGTTAAGTTTTTTTTTTTTACTTTCTGAATTGGTTATAAATAGATTATATTGAAAGCGTTAGTTTATAGTTGCTAAAGTCTTTCAATGTTTATTATAGCACAGTAAACATGTGACCATGAGACATTGTGTTTATCTATGTATTTCATACCTGAAAAAGATACTCTGTGGTACTGGCTTAGATTCTGGCTCAGGAAAATGTTCTGTTAAAGGTTTAATATTGTTTTTTGATAATCACTTCATACATAAATGGCCAACTAGTAGCATGGAAATAACTAGAATATGCTTAGTTTGATTTTTCCCACTTTTTTTACAACAAAGTTTTTATGTCACAGGATCAAGTTGTTTGGGATGACAGTGGCTGTTGCCAGAAGTGTAACATGACACCTAGTAAGTTTTGATTATTATGATTATTTTATTCTAATAAATTTTCATACACTTTTTTTAATAGCCATAACTTTGAACAATCAAATGGTCCACAAACAATTTAAACCCTTTGTTTATCATAGGAAATATTTAGTACATTCACTAATAGACCATATTGCTATACTTTGATAATGGTTTTTCACATTGAATCTAGTGATATATGCTTTGTATGACTTTCTTTCAATAAAATGTACAATACTAAATGTAAAATTTTCCCTGGTTCCTGAAAATACAAAATGCCTAGTCACAAAAGATTAATAACCAGCCTTAAATATGTATCTCACTTTATGATGCCAGATAAACCTAGTGAAACGTTGTGAATAAAATAAACATCTATGGTAACTTCCTTTTATGGAAATTTTAACTGAAACAACTGGAAAAGCAATAAAAACTTATTAAACTGAAATTGTAAGAGAAACCTTAAACTAATATTAAAAAATTATCACATATATCTATTAATGTTGTAATGGTTATTTTTTTTAAACATACCCTGTCACTGAACATGCTTACTCTTTCAGCTGTGTTTGCATTATAATGTGACAGTCACTCCCACTATTCATTGAGTTGGTGGTGGGTGATGCTGACTAGCTGCCTTCCCTTTGGTCTGAACCTCAAAATTAGGGATGGCTATAGCAAGTAGCCCTTGAGCAGCTTTGCTCAAAATTCAATAAACAAACAAAAATTTCTTTGAAACAAACTTTTGTAAAAGCTCTAGTCAAATTTTATACCAAAACTTACTTATACTTATTGGATGTGATTTATCCTTTCATGTACAAAGTCATTATACAATAATATATTTTCTATTTATATCTCCCATGGAGTTAGAATAATTTATAGCAGCTTAACCTCTTATGCACATTCATGCACAGCAATAGCTTTTCAAATATCACAAGTTAAGATTTCTCTAGGAGTTCATCATTATCACCCTGTTTAATAACACCTCTGTTCCACCTTGGACTAGGATTTACATTAAAGCAGTTTAGAAAATTGTGTGACAAAAAATATATTATATAAATATAATATATATATATTATTCATGTTCATCCATAAATAGCACTAAGTGTAGTAAAATGTAGCAGACTTGTGTATTATTTACATGGTAGTAAGCTCTGAACAGAACCAGTAAGCTAGCACCTTATCATTAGCATTTCCATTTGGTCATAAACTTGAGTTTCTCATAACATTGTATATTATAATAAAAGAAAGAGATATTCAACAAAAATAATTTCTCACCATCCAAGTCCAACTCTTAAAAAAGATCAATAAATAAAAAATTGAACTAACTGTACCAATTGCAATTTAATAAAAATTGAAACAATCCAAAATTGATGTCAAAAGTATATTTCAGTTAAGTAGTCAAATATTAAACAAAAGAACACTTATTGAGTATTTATGTTCTTGTAAATAAAGTGTGTAAAAACAAGGAAAAAAAACAATAATGGTAAGCTTGTAGAATGAAAATTCATTCAAACACATTCTGAGAGTAGCATGATGGATAGATAGTAGATTTAATGCTGGAACATGTTTAGTTGAATGTTAAATATTGACTGTGGAATAGTAGCAGAAAAGAAGGTTGGAAATACTTAAAGCCATTGTGATTAATATTAGCTAGGCGATCATACTGTAAAATGATACCTTAATCTATGATGTTAATTCTTTTTCCTTCAGTCCTTTCATGAAATCCACTCTCATGAATTTTTGGGATAATGACAAGTTTGAGTAATATGTAAATATTTTATTTCATTTTCTCTATTTGTTCAGTTCTGCTCTTGAGAAGTCAAGAAACAAATACTAAATTAATTTTTTTCCACATTTCCATCGTTCATGGTAATTTATTTATAATAACTTTTGTATATTAGTATTATGTTCATTTAAGTGTACACGTTGATTTGACTTATTTTTACTGACAAGCCCATTTATGAACACATGTTCAGACTCTATTGTTAGTGGCATATTAACCAACAGTCTTTCAAGGTTTTGCACTAGAGTGCAACAGTTTGAGGGGTGCATCATAAGGAATAAATTTCAAAATATATTTAATAAAAAAATTTTTTTTAATAAAAACAAATTTCCATCCATTTCCTTGCATTATAATTTATTGTTGTTCTCATGTTGATGGATAATTTTCCTGATGAGTAATTTGAAGGGTCACATCTAAAACTGTGGCCCTAGAGCACCAGTTAACCTTAATATTGTAAAATATCAGCCTAAAAAGTTCATACTTAATAAGAGAGTGCTAGCTTTGAGGTTAATTAAAACCAGACAAGGACAAATATTTCTCTGGCTACAAGTCTATAGTGCATAAAATAAATGAATTAGTAAAACTAGACTAGGATGGCTAAAAGAGAACAGAAAGAAATATCCCAAATCAAATAAAAACGAAATTAGACCTTCATGTTTCATAACAATAAAAAACAAAGTGACAGTCATGAGTATAAGGGAGAAAAAACAAAAAATGTTAGAGCCAAACATTAGTGCTCATTTATGTGTGTGTGTGTGACATCACAAAATGCACACACATCCTTGACCTGACATGATAGTAATATAAATCAAAACTGGATAATTTATATAAATTGGCTTTCCTGTTTTGTAATAATTTTCCTATTACTTTTGACACACACATACACCTTAATAAAGTACAAGTGTATGTGTATTTTGGTACAATATCTGCATTTATGGACATTAATTAGATCACCTATCAAAGTCGTGCAAGTTTAATGAAAAATATTTAAACAATTCACAAAATACATTTTATTTAAAAATACTAAATCAAAATTCTTGAATTTAGTATTCAATTTTAGCATTATGAGATAAAAACAATCCATGTTAAATTAATTTAACAGAAGATTGTTCATTTATGTATAATGTTTTGTGGAAATATTATTTTAAATCTAAATGTAATCTATCCCCTTCTTTTCTTATTAAATAGGTATGTGCACACCTGCTGCAATCCCTATAGAAGATACCATTGAATTTTTTGGTGACTTTGATCCCATTCATGGTTTTTGTTTGAATAAGAAACCAGTTTTTGGTCTTCTTGAATGTGCCGGGAAATGCAACTCACATTCATATTTCTCTATGGGTGAGTAATACATTTTATAACAATATTCTCTATGTATTCACATACTATTTAGTATAATGATCAAGTGTATGTTGTAGTTTTGAAAGAAAGATGTAAATGATATGAAGCATTGTTTAGATTTTAAAAAAGTACTATAATATTTTTTTCTTTCCTGCACTTTCTAAGTTTTTAGCAAATAATGTGTTAGCTGGAGTCAAGATGCATAAAAAGTAGTATAATATCTTTATTTTTAGAAGACAGACTAAAAAATAATTCAAATTCATTTTACTTAGAATTTAGTCTTAACAGAGATACAAACTCAGAGAGCTATCTCGTGTTGAGCATGTTCTGGTGTAGAAGAAAGATAAATATATTGAGCAAAATAAATAAAACGTATTTGCAAGCTTGGTAGTCATAGTTATTTGTTTAGAACTTTTAAAATTTATATTTTATGCTAATGGGATGTTTTAATTCAAACATAAGTTTCTGATTAGAAAAGACTCACATTCACAAAATGTTTTAATACTTTTTTACATAGCAGGCACTCATGGTGATAAAATAGTAAAGAAATCCAATGAATAATAATATTAATTCTTATCAGCTCCTTTTTCAGTCAGTCTGATTATATTTTAAAGTCACTATTAAACTAATAATTTATATTCAGCTTATTGTTACTCTCTAAATTTGAAGTGTAAGATTTATAGATATTGCTTCTTAAACATTCTGCTACCATGTTAATCACTTTATGCTGGTATCGAATTGGTGTTTTGAACTGAATTGAATGATACATTTGAATTACACTCATCGATCACTTCTCTTACTATCTAGGTGAGAAAAAAATATTCTAAACGTAAATATCATAAAACTAGTTGTTCATATTTCTTGGGCCCAGCATGGCCAGGTGGTTAGGGAGCTCAACTCACACCAAACATGCTCGCCCTTTCAGCCGTGTGGGTATTATTATGTGATGGTCAATCCCACTATTCGTTGGTAAAAGAGTAGCCCAAGAGTTGGCGGTGGGTGGCGATGCCTAGCTGCCTTCCCTATAGTCTTACACTGCTAAATTAGGGCCGGCTAGCACAGATAGTCCTCGTGTAGCTTTGTGCGAAATTTAAAACAAACAAACAATTGTATTTCTTGAGCCTGCAATGTGTACTCATAATCTAATTATTTTTTGTCTTAGCTTGGATTATTTTACATCTAACTATTTATAATCTTTACAATCATAAATGGCTTTCTAGTCACACTGACATTATCTTTGTTTTGCTATTCT